CTGAGAAATAAGGGATCAAACACTTGTCCACCCCACACCTAATAGCCAGCAATGAATCTGAAGATCTAGATAGCAAGTTAATGAGCAGATTTGATAACGGACTCATTAATCCACTCGACATACCTGAGGCCCCTCTGTGTCCCAGGCTCTGTGCGAGGTGCTGATGATGGTGCATGAGCAGAGCAGACAAAAGTCCCTACCCTGGAGTAGCCTAGCTTCCGGTAGGAGAAGACAGGGAGACAACAGGGATAAACACATGGTATGGGTAGACAGAGAAAAAGTGAGGTGAGGAGCGCGATGGGGATTTGCGTGTCTCAACTGGGCGGTCAGAAGAGGGCCCCACCCATCAGGTGACAGAGGATCCAAGGCCTGGAGGAGGAGAGGAGAGGGCCAGTGGTGGGATGAGGGGCAGCGGGGGCACAACCAGCACAAAGGCCTTTGGGGAAACTCTGCTGCTTACTCTGACAGACCAGACCAGCCACTCGGGTGAGAGCCAAGGCAGACCAGTTGGGAGACCTGCAAAAAGGAAAGGGGCGTGGGGGTGGCGAGGGTGCATGTGGGCCTGGGGTGGTAGCAGAGGCGGCCGCGAGAATCGCTGGGCTCCGGGTCTGTGCTGCCACTGCTGCTGGGGTTCTGGGGCGGGGGGTCTGGCCCCAGCAGCGGCGGGGAGCAGAGTTGCCACGGTGCAACCTGAGCTTGTCCCAGCCGGGGCTCTTGAGAGGTCGCACCGTGGCAACTCCAATCTCAGAGCACTCTACTATAAAGTGCACGTAGGTTCCGGGAGATGTGGGGCCAAGAGGATATTCTCAGAGGTATTCTTGGTACAAACTGGCCAGAATTGCCTAGAGGGCACAGGTCCACAGAGGTGGTGAAAAGAACTCAAACTAATGTTTTAAAGATGTGAGTGGTGGGAACAAGAAAGCGAGCAATTTGATGCTTTGTTTCCAGTTGTTCTCGTTAAAGCGGTCACCTCTGGAGGGGGATGGGGGGATGGGGGGCCTTAGTCTCCATTTAGCCCTCCTGTACGGTTTTAATTTTTATTACTATATGCATTATTAATTTTATAACAGAAAATCGGCAAGCATTCTTAATGTGGTTTTTTTTTAAATCATGGCTCCAAGCAGAATGAGGCCAATTTCTATGCTGTTATATAGAAGAATGTCCAAGATCATCAATAATTTAAATTACTGAATGATATGTAAGCCATTAATCTGTGCATGTCCCTGCATACATGTGTCCATGTATTGGTCCATCAAGAAAGGCCTGGAAGGATAGATACTACTTCACAGTGGTTCCTTTTGCAGCGTGAGAACAGGAAAGGGCCTGGGGTGGAGGGACTTTTGTTTTCTACGTTCTCTGCGCTTTTGCCTACTTTTCAAAGGAATACTTACATGTGTTGTGATTTAAGGTTAAGGCCTTCCCTATACTTTGCTTCAGTCAGAGCTCAATTAAACTTCTCATAATCCAAATAAGAATGATTGAAATTTCAAATAAATAGGCAGTAGAAACTTCCAATCCCTCTTTTCTCTTAGTCCGGTGAGAAGTAAGAGACTATAGAATGGCAAACTAAGAAAACAGACAAATGTCTACTTGACTCATGAATGAGAGAACCAACAGATGGTAAAAGAGCATTTGAGAAACTCAGTATTTACAGTCAATGACGAATTGGGGAATTAAGTCACTAGGTTAACCTAGAATCAAAACTAGTTAATGTCCTCCAGGGTGATAAAACCATGATACCATGATCTTTAGGGTCATCATTTCTACCAGATAGAAATCAGTTGCATCTTCTCTGGACAAAAATCTGTAAACTACATGTAATTTCAGAGAATTAAACAGTCCCTGGGTGGGTCTCTTAGGCTGTGCTCAGCATAATATTGAAAGGATATGCAATCTTCTTTTTGCCTTGTTTATAGATGTTGGATACTTTTTCTTAAAATAAGAAACAAATTTACATATTGGCAGCTGAGTCTTTCCATTTTCCAAATGGAGTTTGCTCTTAATATTAATCTGCTTTTCACCATCTTCTGTGTCTGTTTTCAATCAGGAAGGAAAATTACCAACAAGTAAGTCTAGAATTGCAATAATGTTCCATGGTAAAAACTAATTTTAATATTGCTTTGCTACTCACCTTGATGGATGCTAAAACAACTTACGAGCAATTTAAATTTTGTATCAGGATCAAAGAAAAAAAAAAAGAGTTCTCATATCTGCTTTGAGTTGATGCCAACAACAAAAATCAATTGATACTAACTGCAGTTTCGAATGTTTTCATGGATTTTGGAACATGACTTTGGGCAAGTTACTGAATTTCTTAGCCTCAGCTTTATCCTCTATGAAAAATAAGACTTTTTCCCTGCATTATTGCATGTGAGATGAGATGCTGACAGACACAAGCCTGGGAGCGCCCTGCTGACTTCTTCCCTCACTGCGTTAATGTACACTCACAGCTCATAATTTCTGTTTTGGGGGCTTCCCTTGTGGGTTTTTCTCATTTGTCTTTTGCTACTTGGATGTGTCCTTTTATCTCCTTGTGATTTTAAGAGATATAAACTATGTTTTTAAATCTTACCAATTGCTTCGCTTCTCAAAAAAAAAACAAATTTTTATTTCTCACCTTCTTTCCTTTTTTGGAAAGAATGTAACATTGTTTTTTTTTAAGTCCCCTACCATTAGACGTGAAATTTAACAAATCTCTCTCTGACCAAATGCCATGTAAACTGGAATCACTTTCCCAGAATTTGTCCCATTTCTGAGAAATATAGAAAACACCAAAACATGAATTTATCTAGAAGCTGTCACAATAACACACCTAGCTCATGTAGTGATCGTTCAGTCCACTATTCACTAGGATCTTGAAAAGTTGAACCACGTGTTTGTCAATAATTTTTGTAAATAGCAATCTGTTCAAATACAGTATTTAAATATGCTAGAAGAAGAGTGAAATTTCGGTGCCTCAGCTTCAGGCAGAGGCATACCCTCCCATTTCCCCAGCACCCGTTGGTGTCGTGCTACTTAGCTGGATGAGACGATCCTTCGGGACTCTCCATCTGTTCTGTCTGTAAGCTCTTCGGTATCGTGACGGACTCTATTAATATGTAGCCCTTAATTTGCCCCAAAGTGTTTTTCTGTTCTAACTTCCGTAAGTGCAGTTTGCAAGAGGACAATGAGACCCAAAAACCTTGAAAAATTGGTTTTATAAGCAGTACAGAAATGGAATATACTTAAAAATCACTGAATTGTACACTTTAAGTGTGAATTGTATGCTGTGCAAATTATATCTCAATAAAGCTTTTTAAAAATAGTACGGAAAGAAAAAAATGAGTGCAGTGAGCATTCATGCCATCACACCAGATGTAACTGCTGTAAATATGTGATTCCAAACTGCTATTACTTATATACACTTGTCTTCATTACTCAATATATTTTTCTAGCTGTGAAAAGTATTTGGGTATCTTGGGCTAAAATGGAATTCATAATTTTTTTCAATTAAAATTAATGGATTTTGAGGCACCTGGGTGGGTCAGTCAGTTAAACATCTGCCTTCGGCTCAGGTCATAATCCCAGGGTCCTGGGATGGAGCCCTGCTTGGCCTGCTTCTCCCTCTGTCTGCCACTCCCCCTGCTTGTGCACTCTCCCTCTCTCTCTTTCTCTCTCTCTGTCAAATAAATAAATAAAATCTTTTTTAAAAATTTAAATTAAATTAAATTAATGGCTTTTTTTTTTCACGTAAGGGCTTTTCACTTAGAAACATTTTCAGGGAAAAATTAAGGTTGCCAGGCAAGAAAGAGGTTTAGAAACTGAGTTAAAGTTTTAAGGGGGATTAGGCTTGGCAGAGAGGATACTAAAATCCACGTAAATGCCAAATTGATTTGCCCTGAAGGTAGGTTGGCATCTACCACGCCCACTGAGAAAGACTTCAGACCTGCAAAAGGGGGTCGGGGGAAGACTATGTAGTGAGTGAGGGGAAGTTAAAGAAGCCAGTGAAAGACAGAAAAACCAGAGAAGATCCAAGAGATGGCAAATAGGTAATGACTAAAAGCTGACTGGGAAACCGAGTTTGCCGTTCCACCAGCAGACTGTACTTGGCTATTAGAAAGTAAGTCCGTTGGCTTCATTCAGTTCTAGGTTTCAGAAAAAAACATAAATAGCTCCAGGCTTTTAATTAGTTTAAGAGTAATTCTCTAAGCTCAAAAGTAACTTCCATGCATTTACTCTATCTTACGTTACTTTGTAACAAACCACAATTTTCTGCCTTGTTTTCGCAGAGAGAAAAGCTGGAAGATGACCCAGTTTGGGTACGTTTTTAGTAGAAATACTAAAATAGGAGAAATCTAAGCAATAGCACACATAAAAGAATATCTTGAAGGCACATAACAAAGGTATTATTTAGTAAATCAGAAATTTAGAATCTGTGTAATGCCTAAAGTTTTGACCAGTTATTTCCAGTAATAAAGAGAAAAATAAGTATCTGGGTTCTAATCACCAAGTGCTGATTCTGACCTTCAGTGATTTTATTTTTTTCTGACAAAGGATGAAGAATCACTGAATCCAAGAAACCAAATAAATTCTTTTACGGAGTTGGGTTTTTTGGGTTTTGTTTTTTGCTTTTTGCTTTTTTCGTATTACATCTGACCCCAGTCAAGAGTAAGGGAAAGAGAAGAGAAGCCAAGAGAAGGGGCGCCTGGGTGGCTCAGTCCAGATGTTAAATTTTTTAAATAAAAAGTTGGGAATGAAAATAACAAAAAATATAGTTTTACAGAAGAAAATGCTACACATTTCTTTAAATATTTCACTGCAATAACATACAACTATGCATTGATATTATTTATTTACACTTTATGAAAAGCACACTTATTCAACATAGTTACTCCATCTGAAATTAACTACTTTAAATAGATTAACTTTCAGTGTTAATGCATGTATCTCTTTATCTTAAATATAAATCAAAATAGCTCAATACCTACTTTACATTATAAGGAATGAGATGCCAGGCATTATAAGGATTATGAGTCAATATTTTAATTAGGTTAAAACTTGCAATAATTTTTTTTCAATAATTTCTTCTTTGTTTTTCTTCTTTGTCTAGAATAGTCTGTTTTAAGCTCAAAGTAGCATCTTGAAATCCAGGATTTAAGTCTAATACCTTCTTGAAATCTTCCAAAGCATCATCAAAGTATCCTGTACCAGAACCCAAAAAATGAAAAAGAATAATAAAACTGAGTATTTTTATACATAATTCATAACAAAGTTCAGATACACATGCTTTTATATTTATGAGCTTTCAACCACACCTAGTAAAGGATTTTTTCCTCCTAATACCGACATATGGATGTGTATATCAAAGAAATTTTCCATGCCCTTGTAGAATAATTAAAATTAAAATTTTAAATTAGCTTTAAATGAACACTTAAAATTAGCTCTGGGTTTATTTCTTGAGATTTAACAGGGAAATAGCATAAATCATCATAAAATCTCAACAAAATCCTATCACCTATTTTACACGATTACAGTACAATTAAGCAACAGGAAATTAGTATTCTTTTTAACACTTTAAAAAAGAAACAATACCTACAGTCCCTTTAATCCAAAGATCTAAAACCCCTTCACTTCATATTGTCTTGTGTGCCTTTAAAAATTTTAACTCAGAAAAGTTTCACAGGTGGTCGGTCATCCGCACTGTCCTCAAAGTACTGGGGTCACCCTCATCCGGCGCCCGGTCCAATCCCCACCCCAGGGCTCCACTGTGGTCTGTAAAGCCTACCAGAAGCCTAAAATAAAGGCTTCCTTTGTTCCGGGCTCTACACCCAAATTTTACATGACTTTAAGATTTGATGATTACTACATTAGTTTCACATTTGAGAGCTCTGAATTCATAAAATATAGACCAGGGCAAAAGGGGAAAAAAAAATTCTTACCCAGCCTATACAGTATCAACCCTCTGTTGTAATAGGGAACTTCAAAAGTGGGTCGGACTTGTGTGGCAGCTGTGTAGTCGTCCAGGGCTTCATAAAAATCAACCCTGCAGTACTTGATTTGCCCCCGGTTGTTATATGCAGTAGCCAAATCCTCAGGGCTGTATTTGCTTTAAACAAAAAGTTCACATTAAAAACATGTGTTAGCAAATTCCTCTCGTTTCCACCTTCATTCTCTTTCGGGTTTTGTCAACCTTCGTAGCCTGTGACATGTGGTATCTACGCCGAAAAACCAAGCTGAAGAAACGAAGTGCAAAGAAATAAGGCAGTGGAATGAATTTTTGTTTAATCCCATGATCTACTTCGTAGCAGCACTACCCTGTCGGTCCGAAAAACACATTAATTCTATAATGTGTTCAGAGCCCTCGTGCAATGTCAACTTGTTTTGCAGAATTCAATATTCAAAAGACTGTTCATTTTCTAAGCACGCACCAGCAGGGCAAAGAAGACAGATCAAATTCACGCTGAGCAAGGAGGAAAAGCCAGCCCAGAGCTCCAGTTTGCAATGGACATATCACAAAGTGAATCATCAATGTTATTCTCAAAGTTCTAAGTGATCCCACCAAAAATGAGATTTTAAATCACTTTTCACCAGTAAAGAAATACAAGTTGACCGTAAGTGAAGATTCAACATGCTGTCGCCCAAGGAGGGGATAGAGCTGCCTTCCTCCCGTCTTAGCCCCCAAGGCGACACTGGCCTCCTGCGAGGAGGACATCGGGGCTCAGGTTCATTCTGGGGGTCCTGTGTGCCCAATGGGCTCTGCTTCTGAAGGCTCCAGAGGCTGCCCTGGGAGCTCTGAGTGGGCAGGGTCTCCAGTAAGGGCAGCTCTGACCAGCCACCGGCTCAGCAGGTCACCCCTCCCCTGCCAGATGATTCATCTGCACAGAGAACACGAACGGACTCTACTCTGTGTCAGACAAATTCTGTTTTCCTTTCTTTTTTTCCAAAGGGATTCTCACATTTGAACCAAAGAGAAAAGGCACAGGCTACACTCATCTGTCATTTCTTCATTATGCCCCCTAGTGCAAAGTACAGTCCTCAGAAAAGATCGAGGCTGCCGTCCATGCTAGTAAAAAGGGACTTCTATTAGTATCTAGACCCTTGAGATCTGACAGGCACGGCAACCACTGCTACCACAAGAGGTCCTCACAGGGGTCCCCTTCAAGTCTAAGTTCACTAACGATGGACAGAACTACTGCAACACGAGAAAACTTGTCTGTGGGAGCTATGACAGACGGGGTGCAAGAATACTTCTGGACGCTGCTAGCACTAGCTGTAACCCCCGTAAAGGGTTTTAAGAAAACTGCAGCCTCGGGACTCCAGAAAGATTTTAGACATTCATTTAAGCTTCAAAACTTTGTTATGAGTTTCTTATATTCAGAGGATTATAGAAAGTTCGGTTTAGAATTAGATCTCATTACAACAAATTCTAAAAGCCTACTTTTCATGTAGAAACTGCTCCATATTTTAAAGATGTGGGTTAATCATTGAAGCCGAAATGTTTTTGATAATATTAAGATTTCTGTAATGATACTATTTATCATGCTAGAATTTAACTTCCTAACACAAATGTGGATTTTTTTGCATTTGCAAACTTGAGCAAAAAAAAATCTGAAAGGCTGTACTTTGGGATATGAAAAGAAAATGTTATAAACCATTCAGTGACAGGCATGCAAAAATTGCAAATGCTTCTTCAAAATGGTTCAGTGACCCATTATTTTAAAAAATAAATTTAAGCTAAAAGATATTTTTAAGGAAAAAAATCTGAAATGACAGAATCCATTTTAAATTCATGAGTTCCTAGAAGAATTTCAGAACTATAAGGAAATTGGAAGGTTCATTCAGGCAGGCTGAGCAACCTTCTAGCAAACCATGGAGGTTTTCTTCCCTGCGTTGGGAAGAGGCAGATACTGTATCTACTATAAACACATATTGGTGCTCTTAGGCTGAATGTGCAAAGGAGACTAGATGGTGTCAGTGTATCTGTTGCTGATGAATACTTTTTGAAACCTATTAGCTTGAAATTATAGAAAACTACATTTTCTATGTTTACTAATCTTTTTTGGGGGGGGGGCTGGAGGGGGGAGGCTCAGGGGATGGTCTTATTGCCCGTTCAGAAATTTCTATTAACTGTTACCTTGGTGTATTATCAAAACATGAAAGCAATTTTATTTTTCTGGTTTAATTCCACATGAGTTTAACAAACAGGAGAAGAATTGTAAGCCTCATGCAAAAGACAAGCTGACATCCTGTCAAGAAAAACCAAATCCGGGCGCCTGGGTGGCTCAGTTGGTTAAGCGACTGCCTTCAGCTCAGGTCATGATTCCGGAGTCCTGGGATCGAGTCCCACGTCGGGCTCCCGGCTCAGCGGGGAGCCTGCTTCTCCCTCTGACCCTATCCCCTCTCATGCTGTTTCTCTCTCTTTCTCTCTCTCAAATAAATAAATAAATAAAATCTTTAAAAAAAAAAAAAAGAAAAACCAAATCCTTGAAGGGAGAGAAGAGTGATGGTGCAGATGATTCAAAACCGTCAAACAGCTGTTCATTCCACTCCTCTCTGTTCTTTCTCATCCTAGCCCACATCACTCCATCAAGAAGAACAAAGGCAAAATTTGGAGGACCAACAAATGCTACACATCCAGGCATAAATCCAAGGCACTTTGGGCAAGCAGGTATTAGCAGGTGAAGTCGCTAATATCACAAAAAGAAAGACAGTATTATATGCTTTCTAACAAAAACACACAGCACCACCTAACATATGCTCGTCGTTAATACTGGATCTGAATTGGATCAAACCTCAGGATTTAACTACCAACTCACAAGCAGTGTAGGAGACAAGGGACCGTATTAAATGACATCAGGGGGATGAATTCAGCAAATCCAAAATATGGGGAACTCTCAAGACACAGGACTGGCTTCCTCAACAAACTTCAAGGGGAAAAAAGGGGGAGCCTTACAGATTAAGAGACCTGGTGTGCATCCTGACTTGAACAAACTGCTAAAAAAAAAAAACACACATCAGCCAAACAAAAACGTTATTAATCAATCAGGAACCAACACTGACTGCATATTTCATATCAAGCAATCACGTAATAATAATGATACTGTGGTTGTTTCCGTAAGAATCCTTAATATTTAGAAATGCATTTTGAAATATCCATGGATGAATGCGTGGGTGAAATGGTAGTATTTAGGCCGAGTGATATCCTCCCCCCACTACACACACACACACAAGTGAAAAACGAAACACCCTTGCGGTGAGGTGGTGGCTGGAGTCGCGGTCCCATGTACTAGCGAGTCACCTCGCCGTCTCCAGGTCTCAGACATCCGCCTGCTAAAATGACAGGTGGAAAAGCCCTATCCGCTCTAAGTCTTGGGTCAGAGTGAGTAACGTAGTTAAGACCCCCGGGGGGGAAGGCAGCCGGCGCCCCTCGCCGCCCTTCTGGAAAGACAAACAGTCCGCGCATTGCGTCCTCGGTGCCAGACAGCTCAGGTGGCTGACCGAGGGACCCGACGACCCCGGCCTCCCACCTCCCGGAGGCGCCGCTGCCCCACTTCTCGCGATAGTTACCTCCCGGGCGCCGCTCCCACGGAGCCTGCACAGGCGCACTGGCGAATGTAAGCGGAGTACAGGGCTTCGGCTTCCGCGTATTCGCCCTTCTTGAAGTGAGCTTGGGCGAGCGCGAACGTTGCGTGGCTTTGTTGCCCTTGCTGCCCATCCATGGCGGTCAGAGGCCTAGCGTTCCGTGTAGAAAGGGGGTTGACTTCTGGGCGTTTAGAGGCGGCGCCACAGAGCCACTTCCGCACTCCCGGAATTTAATTTGACCGCAAAACCTGGGCGCTTAGCAAAAGGGGAAGTTTGTGCCTTCGGAGGACCCATCATCTCGCGAGATCAGTCACACGGTGCTGGCAGGGAACTCAGGCGGCCCAGGGAAGTCTGACCCACTCCTCTGAAGTGCGGTCTGTTATTACTGCTGGTTCCGCCTGCTTCCTCTTCCAGAAGAGCAGTAGATTGATGGGCCTAAACTGGTTTCCAGGTCCGTTGACTGATGTTGCGAAGAGCTTGTCCTTTGTTACAGCGAGTTGAGCGAGTTGCGGGGGGAGGGAGCCTCACCATGCCGGAAGCAGAAGGAAGCTTGGTTTGTCTCATGAATGGCTCAGGGGCCCGCAGATTTATTGTAGCGCCCCTGGGGTTCCAGCGTCCACTCTTAGCGAACCACCTGGTAGAGGGTGGCCGCCGTTACTCTGAGACACTGTGTAAATCCCTCGAGCTTACGAATTCAGATTACCATTTATTAGCTCCAAGAGCCTAGATTGCACACTTCTTGAACCTCTGGAATAGTGTAAGGATCCATTAAATAATATTTTGTGCTGACAGTCTGTTATGTTAGTTTACATTCCCTGGCTGTCAATGCCAAAGGGAAACCCAGATAGTAATTTATTAAGTACAGTATGTTTAAGTAAGAATTACCTAAAAAACAATCCAGAGAAGGAGATTAAGGAAACAATTCTAATTTATAATAGCATCAAAAAGGAATAAAATATTTCGGAATTAACGAAGAAGTGAACGACTTGTACAATGTAAACTACAAAACAGTGCTGGAAAAAATTACACATAAATAAATGGAAAGACATCCTTTGTTCAAGTTAAAGGGACCATTAAGTTAAAGGGAATCCATTTTAAAATCCCAATGATGTTTTTACAGAAATACAAAAAATCCATCTTAAAGTTAATATGGAATTTCAAGGGATCCCAAACAGCCAAAAACAATTTTGAAAATAACAAAGAATACTCACGTCCTGATTTTGAAACTTAACTACAAAGCTACAGCAATCAAAACACTGTGGTATTAGCGTAAAGAGTATTTTCAATAAATGTTGCTGGAAAAAGTAGATATCCACGTTCAAAAGAATTAAGTTGGATGGAAACATCATATAAAAAAATTAACTCGAAATAGATCAAAAACCTAAATGTAAGAGCTGAAATATAAAATTCCTAAAATATAAGGCAACAGCTTTGTGACACTGTATTTGGCAACTTCTTGGATATGACCCCAAAGACAAAGAAAACATAAACAAATTGGGCTTCACGAAAATTTAAAACCTTTGTAAAAGACTATAAACAGTACAAAGACAACCCAGAGAATGGGAGAAAATATCCAAAAATCAGGTGTCTGATACGGGAAATGTAGGAGATGCTGGGCTGGTGTGTCTACTGGTAAGACACACAGAGGATTCTGACATGGGGTCTCTGTCCACTTGAGAAGCTCTGGTCTGTAGGAGGACACTGGAGGGCCTAACCTGTGATTTCGGTGCTGGGGCGAGGCTCAGTTGCTGTCCCTCCCTCTCACATCAATCTTCAGAGTCCACCTGCAGGTGGTGCTTTGCCTGGGGAGGGGCATCAACAAGCCTCCCCTTTGCCAGCTCACCCAGAAATACAGCTGCAACAAGATGGTCTGCTGAAAGTGTTATGTTCACCTGCAACCTCATTCTGTCAACTGCTGCACAAAGTGTGGCCACACTGACCACCCACGCCCTGAGAAGAAAGTCAAATAAGGTCCCTCCTTGGGCTCCTCCTTCCCCTACAGGGCCGCCGCTTGCCTGAGCCCCATGGCCCCGGGGCCTCAGTAAAGCTTCACTCTCATTGACTAGAGCAGTGGGAAAAAAATACACATACACACAAACACACACATATACATATATTTTTTCCCCTAGAATATATAGAGAACTTTTAAAACTCAACTTTTTCATAGTAGGTCTACCATTTTGCATTTGCACCAGCAGTGTATAAGGGTTTCAGTTGTTCCATATCCTTTTCAATACTTGGCAATATTAATTTTAGCTATTACAGGATGTGTGAATGGTATCCCATTTTTCTCTAGATTTTACGAACTAGAAATTTAAGCTATGCCAAATAAGAAGTGAGTAAATATTAACTCTAAGCCTCTTCATGTCTACTGTTTCTTTTAATTTTAGAGAAAGTTCTTAAGAATAGCTCTTGTCATGAAGAAAACTTACAGTACAGCAATTTCTTCAGTTTGACCTGTTTTTTCTTCTCCTAAATTCAACTAAAATATAAATTAGTGCCTTTAATTTTAAAGAGGTTATTAAGACCATTTTCACTTCTCATCTCTCATAAATACTCTATGTATTTTTGTAGTTTTCTACTGTGGATATATGTTACTTTTCTAAAAATATGTTTATTTTCAAAAAATACACATTGATTTCTTAAAAAAATAACTTGAGAATAATCATAAGAATAGACAGTAGGGGGCAACATAATATTGCCATTTTCATTTTAGAAATTCAGCAGCAATATCTTAGAGCTGTAACATTATCAAATAAGTATTTCCCATGTTCTCTTAAAAGTCTGGTAAAATAACTTTCCCCCCATTTCTAAATGAGAACTCTGTATGATTCTAGAGTAATTCACTGCAACCTCCAGTCATCTGACATTTGCCTAGTACCTTTCTAAAAAGTTGTTTTTTCTGTTTGGTAGCAAAAAATGACATTAGAAATCTACTGGACCTCCTTGTCCCTTTCTCCCCTATCCACTCTGAAGCCCAACACTCTCCTAACCAACCCCCACCAAAATATTTAAATCAAAACAAAACAAATACCATGTTATCCTTAAGTTATAGATAAACTGGGGATAAATACAAGTCATTTTTACTTCAAAGCTTATTATTTTCTTTTTTTTCTTTTTTTACTTAATGCCACATAAAACCTAAAATCTCAGCTCTTGGAATACAAAAAGATCATTTCAAAGTGTATTTTACCAAAAAAAAAAAATGTGTAATAAAATCGGCATTTGTGCATGATGGCAGGTCAACAATGTTGATAAGCACATTGCTTATCACTGTAAACTTTTATCTGTTGTTCCCATCATCTCAATACTTTGGCCTATCAAAGTATTTTCAAACTCTGAAAGGTAATATAATTCTACTTTGAAACTTCACATAATTCAGGCCAAGTTTTGTGATAAAGAGCAACTCAGCATTACTTAAATGGAGTCAGTACATGCTTCTTACAGGAAGAGAAACAATATAACTGCTTCATTATACTGTCTTCAATATATGCTTCATTCTGTCCAACTTCTCCCCAAGTATTTGTTACATATAGACAATTTTGCTTCTCTTTGCTCCTTTCATCGAACAGGAGAGAGTTTGTTGGTGGTGTTATCCTGAAATTTCCTTCATGCTGAATAAACCGAATTAGGTCAACTCATACTATAGGTCTTTCCCTAGTACTATTTTTAAGCAAGACAAAGGTCCCCAAGACATTCTGGCAGATCACTAAAACTTTCAGAGATGTAAGTCCCAAACAGGCATAAACTTTCACAATAGTAGAAAAGATATGTCTATAATATGTGCGTATACATGTATGTATACACACATCTACATGGAACTGGAATTGAAGCTACTGGGAGTGTAATCAACAAGTACAGTAAGGTCTAGAGGAATGACAGTCAGTTCTCAGCTGATTCCTGGGATGGGAAAAGAGAAAGAAATAGTATCAGGAATTAGACCATGGACTAAGAATCACAACTCTGAACATGCAGTCCTGCAGGAATCCTTCACCCTACATCCCTAAAAATTTCTCTCCCATTGATGAAGCAGAGAGTAGTTTTATCCTGAAAAAAGAAAGTCTTATAGAAAGATGTAAGTAAGGGGCCCAGTTGGTTGAGCATCTGACTCTTGGTTTCCATTCAGGTCACGATATCAGGGTTGTGAGATAGAGCCCCACATAGGGCTCCATGCTCAGGGTGGAGTCTGCTTAAGACTCTCTCTCCCTCTCCTTCTGCCCCTCCCACTCATGCTCCCTCCCTCTCTTTCTCTGTCTCAAATAAATAAATAAATCTTAAAAAAAAAAAAAAAAAAAGATGTAATTAAGTTCAACAGGAGATATATTCCCTAGGGTTGATCCTTTTGTTAGTATGTGATTTTCTGATTTGGAAGAATATCCTATTCTGGTCATAGAAGAAAACAAATCAGTTAGATGAAACTGTGTTAAACTTAAATAAGTAGGTAATTTAGGGGGCGCCTGGGTGACTCAGTCGTTAAGCATCTGCCTTCGGCTCAGGTCATGATCCCAGGGTCCTGGGATCGAGCCCCACATCGGGCTCCCCGCTAAGCAGGGAGCTTCTCCCTCTCCCTCTCCCACTCCCCCTGCTTGTGTTCCCTCTCTCGCTGTGTCTCTCTCTGTCAAATAGATAAAATCTTTAAAAAAAAAAATAAGTAGGTAATCTATGAGGTGTGTTAGACAAAGTAAGTAGAGTATATATGTATGACCATACCTCATATTAAAGAGGCACTAAAAATACAAAAGGCAACCAGTGTACTATTCATGATGCACTAAATATGCATGAGACCTATAGTGTTCAATATGTGTGAGATCTGGATACAATTAGTCATTGGTGACACTTACTCCGGCCGGTCCTCTGCCCAAGAGATACAATCCAATCAAATCCATGACTGCTCAGTAGACTAACTGGCAACCTATGGCTGCAACCTGATATACTTGCCCCATAGCCTCTTATAGAGCAAGTGTCCATCACTAGCTTCAGGCACATTACATATGCCTGGGTCACCTGGCTCAAACCTCAGCTCTGGTCCTCTTTGTGACCATACTATCAGGGGGAAGCTGACTGGGCAGAATGGCAATCAGGACACAAGAACAGAACAGAACTCACGATTCAGGTAATGTAATCTCTGTATCCCACTGACACTCTACCCTAACAACAGTATTAATCTGACCAAACACCTTCTCGTTGTTCCTGTGTATTTCAAACTGATTCAATAAACCTTGTGAATTAAAGCATCCTCACTGGTCTGTACCACTTTCTGCTCCGTGACTTCTGGAATGGCTTGCTTGGTAGGATATCTGGAGGCTAACACTGCATCACGGTAACTTCCCACAAGGCCCTTGAACACAGACAGAGACTTCCAAGACTTCGGGTCCTCTTATTTTATTTAGGCATATGAGCCCACTACTGTAAGCTCATCTAGGCTCTAAACCTCTTCTCAGAGCTCACTATTCTCGATCTGCAACAGGCTTAATTTGTCTCTAAAGCACTCAAAACATAGCACTTTGAGAGTGGTTGACCAACCTACGTATCGCAGCAGCAATAGCAATGTAGCATATTTCTCTTTACTTATTGCCTCTACTAAACATCAACCAATCTTGAGTAAATAATGGTGATGACACAGTGCTAGAGTCTAGCCTGTAGCCGCAAAATGAAAGGACACAGTTTATGAGAAATACACGAAGAACACTATTAGCTACATAAAACAGGTAAGAAATTACCCATTGCTGGTTACAATTTTTTCCTTTTTAATTAATGATGATAAGTCAAAACAGACACATTATTGAGAAAGAATCATTCCCCATACTCTAGATTTGTTTAAATGAAGGGCCCTGCTTAGAAACAATGTTTCAACTAGAACTGTAACTACAAAATGGATGTTGGTGTATAGATTTTATCATAAATAGGGCCGAGTTTTCTGCACAATATAAAGAGTAATGCTAAATGCCATCTCTCAGATGAGGCTAAAAGGGTAGATAAAAAAGGAAAAGCTATATAAAAAATAAGGCTATTAGAAACAATTCAAGTTATAAAAATATCTTAAAGTGCCTTCTCACTTCTGAAAATAAAATACAGAAGACATTTGATACTTATTTAATGAAATACAGCTAACAGTAGAGCTCATTTTAATATTACAATTATTTAACCTTTTTCTAATACAGGTTATGTCAATTCCCTAAATTGAACTTTGCCCCACTCCCATGCTTCCCCCACCCACCCCTGCCAAGGTTTTTGATGAATTAGTAACCTTGAATCTGTGAGAAAAATTTCTTATTTGGAATATTTTCATAGTATCATGTAATCATAACAGATAGACAGAAAGACAGGAAATAAGGTTGATTTCCATACGTTTTATATGAAAATCAGCATCATTATTTCATAGTAGTATGTTTACACAAAATTATATCTATAAATTATGTATATGTAACATCTGTATTATATATATACAGATATGTATTATGTATACATATGATTTTGTGTAACAATACAACTATGAAAGAATGCTGATTTTCACATAAACTATGAAATCTTCCAATCTTATTATATATACGGTCATAGCTATGTGTATTTGCTACATATATTTTGCAGTTCTACGCGATTTGCCATTTCTTTACCCCACTGAACTGTGGCATAGGGGACAGAAGTTGTAGTTACTTATTTCCTGCGCCAGGACACAGTGCTTACACACACTGCACATCCAGAATTGATATTCAGTGATCGGGCTTCCCGTGGCTACACACGTTGGCAGTTTCCCTTCCCCTCTGTAAAAACAAGAAGAAAAACAATGAATTACAGTTTAAAACTTCTAATTACTTAAACCATTTATTACACTTAAAAAATTAAGGGATGAAAAACATCTCCAGGCAAGTTTCCATTAAAAACTTCTCTTACAATGAGAAAATAAAGCATTAATAACACTTACAAGACTAAATAAAATAGGGTATAATCTTAAGGTAAATTACTTCAAAATTTCGTGCTTAAATTATTACATCACGCTATTACACTTACAGAAATCGCAGCTTCTAATCAACATTAATCACAATCAGCCTACCCTTCAAGAAGGCTGTCCAATTCAGATTTTCTGTTATCTTTTGGAGTGTGTTTCGTGAAGATTTCTAAAGCAAGATCTTCATATTGCTGTTTTTGCTCTGCACTGAGGGTCTCTAAAGATTCAAGTTTAATAAAAGCTTTTGAACAAGTACCAAAAGCTCTACTCGCACATGCACAGAGAGCTAACAGAGAGTAGATCTCAACGGCAGGGATAATGTCTTCATAGTCTCTCAGGTGAAGAGCTGGGAAAAAGAGGACAATTTAGATTTTGAAAAGTAATCATAATATCATGATCATGCATGGAGAAGAATCTATGTTAAGCAGCTTTAGTTTAACCTACATGAACTTTTACAAACTTAAAAAAAAAAAACAATGGCGGGCGCTCGAAGCCTGGTAGAAGGAAGTGAGTTATCCGAGCTCACAGTTCTGTAACGCTAGCCAACAGCTCAGGTGCTACAGAAATCACCACCACCAAATGATGCGCATACTGTGCCGGTGAGAAGTATACACACAGACAAAAAAATAAAAATTGCTGTCGAAACATATCTTTTTTTCATATAAATACATTAGAAATTTCTGTGGCCTTCCAGAAAAGTAAACTAGTATTATACTGTTAGTCATAATTTTCAAGATAACATCATTGTTCCTTTCGGTAAAAAAAGCAAAGCAGCATGAAATCATGTTTTTTTCTTTGCGTTTCTTTGAACAGATTGTTTTTTTGTTTGTCTTACCGAAACAACAGAACTTTCAGAAAAAAGAAGTCACGATGAGCCTCTAAGTTGTCAGTTCAGAAAATTTATTTTGACAGCTGCCATTTTGACATTCTTATCTTATTTTCACCTTTTCTATACTAGAGATATATAATCTTTCTTTAAAATGTACTGAAGAATTAATAGATTGTATATGGATTTCTTCACCCAGTAGGTGAAAACTCTCAAGTTAAAGCTCTAATTTGCCTTATAAGTCTAGAAATTGTGTATAAGTTATATAAAATACAACCATTTTAAACATAATTGCATAATTTATACCACATAGTAATCAGTTAAATTAAATGAAGGTCAGTTATAAACATACAAAAACAAAAATGGTTCTTGTGTATAACTAATAACCAATTAGAAAAAAACTTTACAGCCCCCTTGCTAATACAAATGATAACACAGATGTATGTTCGTCAATGTGGAAACATGACTGCAATACACACCACAGGGTATAAAGCAAGCTCCTGAACAACATGTATGATATTATTTTAAGGACAACTATCTACAATTCTATAGGCATGGAGAAATGTCTAAAAGGAAGTTCACCTAAACGTTAGCAATCATTACTTCTGAGTTACAAGATTATTTTACAAGTTATTAGATTATTTTACCTTTTCCTTTGTATTTTTTTTTTCTGTTTTGACTTAAATTGTTATATGTCATTTTTTTTTACATCCATGTCATTTTAATAAAAAACAAATGCTATGGAAAGCTATTAATATGGAAATATCTTACAACCTAGCAATGTTTCTCAAAAAGGACATGAAAGTATGGCCTGTTATACTCCTGATATAAAAAAAAAAAATTTATATATATATATAAATTCAAAAGCATATGGACTGGGTTATTAAGTGTTTAACTTTGAATGAATAAAATAGTGAATGCTATAGATGGTCTTTTTGCTTATCTCAAACTTCTGATTTTAATGTGAACCATACTTATTACTTTCTACGTATTAAAAAAATTAAAAGTGCTTCAAAAAGGGGAATGCACAAAACAAATTACAGATAGCAAATCTCAAACATGAAAATAAACCCATAGATTAAAATGTTATTGAAATTAATATATGGGCAAACTGAGGGAGCTGGCCCTTCATATTCAATTGACCGTTTTTAGACATATTCTATACATTAGGTCATATACCCACCTGTCTTCAGTGCAGTGTCAACATAACCCTCATAGAGCTGCCTTTGTGCAAGTATAAAGAAGTGGTAAGCCTCGGCCCCTCTCCAAGCATTATCTGTGAAGCGACTAGTTGTAGACAGAACTTCCTCTTCCAGCAAACCAGCCAAAGCTGAAGTGGCCTATGAGTCAAGCAGACCCACGTTTTCTGTCAGCACCATGACAGTCATTCCAATAAAGATAGTTTCTGAATGGTTTATACATTAAAATATCCAAGTAAGCAAATTTTATCATGACAAAACTGTCATTACAGATTTAATTTCTCCATTAGAATTTGTATTTTTTAAGCCAGTATAAAAAAAAATTTCTTTCAGTTTTACTGAGGTATAACTGACAAATAAAATTATAAGATAGTGAAAGTGTACCTCGTGGTGATCTGACACACAATACACCGTGACCCATGGTGTGGTCAAATTTTAAAATAGAACTGAGTATAAACTTTAAGTTAATAAGAGATTCATTTACACATAAAATAATATATATATTCTAGGAAAGTTTCTAAAACTCACTGGTTAGAAAGCAAAGGCTACAGATTAGTCTTGCAGAAAAAATTTTCAATATTCCTAAGTAGAAATTTCTAAATTTGAGTATTAATTCCAAATCAGTCCTTTTTCTCTTCTTATTTATGGGCTGTCCATAAAGAGAAGTTTGATAGTTGTTTTTTTTTTTTTCTTAAATACATGAGTTGATTTCATGTTCTGTAATGTTCTACCTTACCTCTGAGTTCTTTCCTTTAACTTTTCCTCTTTGAGCATTTTTCATTTGTTCATGGTATTGCTCTATGAGTAAAGCTGATAGGACATACAACTTCTTGACACGTAAAGGTTTGGTTCTTTTCTTTGCCTCTTCATCTGCAATCTTTAAACATTTAAAGAATATGGGAAGACATTCCTTAATCAAATTATATTTGTATAATCATTTCTGAAATTTGATCTTTAATAAAAAGAGAAAACCAGTAGGATGGAACATAAATACCACCCATTTATAATAAATATTTTAAAACCCATTTTCTTACATGTATCATATGACCTCACTGATATGAGGAATTCTTAATCTCAGGAAACAAACTGAGGGTTGCTGGAGTGGGGGTGGGGTGGGAGGGATGGGGTGCCTGGGTGAGAGACA